AAGAAAGCCACCCATGTTTCCATGGAAAATCATCACTGACCTCAATTTGGAGTCTTAGAGGAGAGAAATACCAGCTATGTTTGGCAATTGGACACGAAAACAAGACATGATCCACAGTATCCACCATATCGCCACAAAAGTAACAATTAGCATCCTTTGAAATTCTTCGGGATTGAAGATTCTTCATAACCGGTATGCGTTCAAGGCAACATTGCCATAAGAAAAACTGAATTTTTCTATAGGTCTTGATTTTCCATAACTTCATCTCTCAAGGTTTGTATTGTTGGTTCAGACTACTACTACTAGCTGAAGAGGAAAAGAGAACCGAAGAAATATTATCATTTTTAAGCAATAAACACAGTTTTTAGGCACTGTTCACTTAGAAAGCTCCATTCGAAGAAAACCCCCAAATTCTTGAATCAGTTCCACCAGTTAGACTAATTGGAATCTGAAGAATAAGCTGGGCGTCCCTACAATTAAAAGCCTTTGAAATCAAATCCTCTTTCCAAGAATGAGACGAAAGATTAATGAGATCTGAGACTTGTGAGATATTAATGTTGGAAGGTGTGGAAGTTAGAAAATGATTGAAAGGATCAGGCAACCAACCATCTTTCCAACAATTGATTTTAGAACCATCCGCAGCTTTCCATCTCAACCCGACTCTGATAATCTCCTTAACAGAATATAAACTTTTCCAAATCCAAGAGGATCGTACACTACATGGAGCTGCAAGAAAGGAACAAGTTGGAAAATATTTATGCTTGAAGATTTTAAAATATAATGACCTATCCTCCATTTCAAGTCGCCAAACAACTTTTTCAAGTAGAGCTTGATTAAACTCTATCATTTCCTTAAATCCCGAACCACCAAACTCTTTCGCCTCACAGAACTTTGCCCAGCGGACCCAATTTTTTTTTCCTATTATCCTCTTTCCTAGCCAACCAAAAAGATGTCATTTGTCTTTCCATTTTCGAACAAAGTGTGGATGAGAACTTAAAGCACTGCATAGCATAAGCAGGAAGGGCAGCCAAAGTTGATCTGAGAAGAACCTTTCTTCTTTATATTCTTTATTTTAGATGACAAATTATCTTCCAAGAAACTAAAGGATGTCAGCTTAGATCTCCCTAGGAAGGAAGGCAAACCTAAAAACTAAGACTGCCATCGGTCGTCTGTGATTCCCAAAATCCCACTTATCGAATTTGAAGGTCTGTGTTGGCACTGAAATATAAGCCAGACTTATCAGAGTTAACCAACTAACCAGATAAATGCTCGTATTCTGCAATATTGATTTTGAGTTGCTTGAGTAGTAGTGGCCTTACAAAAAAGTAAAGCATCATCAACAAATAAAAGGTGGGTGATTTGACGAACGCCAATCCCAATTGTAAGCCCTTCGATAAGCTTCCTATTCATAGTTTGTTTCAAGAGTAAAGAGAATCCCTCAGTACATATAGGAGAAATAGATAGGGAGAGTGGATCTCCTTGCCTCAAACCTCTGGAAGGGGTGAAAAAAACCCCAGGTTCACCATTTAGGACCAGATAATAGGAAATTGTGGTAATGCAACTCATGACAACCTTCACCCAATGTCTGTTGAAGCCAAGATGTAGAAGCATTTTTTCAATAAAGAATCAATCGACTCTATCAAAAGCTTTGGCCGTGTCAAGTTTAAGGGAAAGGAAACATGCTTTACTCTTCTTATGAGATTTCAAATAGCGCATTGATGTTGTTATTAGTGATGGTTACCAAGTTTTGTACATATCGGTTGCTATATTTTGGTGTCGATGAGGTTTTGCCCTGTTTTCTGGTAGCGATTTAGGGCGTCATTGTTGCTTCAGCAGAGCAATAATTCGGTGGTGTCAATTGAGATCTTCAATCTAGGGTTTTGGGTTACAGCGAAATTAGGGTTTCGTGCTAGTAGCTAGAAGGAGAAGAGAACAGCAATAATCTCTGTTGCAGCAATAATTGTTTGTCTGGAACTAAAATTTAGGATTTGGGTCTGGACAAGGCGGCGTTGGTGGTGGTGATTTGAGACATGGGGAGGAAATCAGGCTGGCTTGCCATCAATAATAGTGTTGGACTCGATTGGGTCTTATCGACTGATGGAGGCAGTGACATTGGGTTGAAGAATTCGACTGTGAGGGCTGAATGATGAAAGGAAGGAATCGTGGGCGGTGGCGTCGTCGTAGATGGTGGTTGCTGAGCATGGAGTTCGTAAGGAAAAAAAGGGTTTTGATGATTTATACAGATACGATAATAGACGTCATGTCGGGCTCTGTTGCCCTTTTCGTGACCAAAAACTCTCAGCCACTAATTCTAGCCAAAAACCACAAAAAAAACTCCAACATCATCATCTTCTTTACGATCTTCAATAGCGTCGGAATATGGTTGCAGGTGAGGCTGACACGTCTTTTGCATGTCAAGCCAGTGTGAATCTCTCCACATCATTGGTTCATTCTTCCACCATCACTGCCCACCAATCACCACTTCCACCACCATCACTGCCCCCTCAACACTCGTTTTTAGGGATGTCAATTTTTACCCCCTGCTAGGGCTCCGTCCCGTCCCGCTCCGTTAATAACGGATATGAGAACATTTTTTATACCATTTGGGCGGGCATGAATACAAATTTTGTACCCGTCGCGAGTCACGGGGTAGGTAAGGGTTCAGTATACATATCTTAGGGGCCCGCCCCGTCCCGTTCCGCTAAGCATATAACTATATTTAATATATATATATATACAATATTAATAACTTATTTTATACAATATTAATAACTTATTTTAGCGGCTTACCCAGGTATCCATCTCTTACAATCCTAATTTGGGATGTAAACTTGATATTAAATTTGCTTTTGTTTTAGTTATGGTGGACTTGTGATTTGGTTGTATTAAATTTTTATTTTTGTTTGTTATGTTCTCTGAATTATGTCATGTGCATGTTATTTTTTTATTTTTGTTGGGATACATAATTTCATTTATGTTGTGCCATTTCCAGGATTTTCGCATATAAATAGCAGGAGCTTAAGTTCTAAAAAGTGGGAGAAAAAAATTTGTTAGCGGGGCGGGCACGGGGGCACAGTATTCCCCAACGGGGCGGGGCTGGACATAAAAATCCAACCCGTTGCGGGTCTCGGGACGGGCATGGACTTGACAAAAATTAAAAAGGACGGTGCGGGATTTAGGGAAACCTACTCCAAACTCGCCCTATTGCCATCCCTACTCGTTTTAAAAACTCAAATAATTCATAAGAAACCCAAAAACCCACTGCTTTTGGGAAGACAAGTTCAGACAATTTCAACTTGGGAATTTTATGGAATTGGGTTAGGATTAAACAAATGATCGATTTGGTAAAGAGAATGTTTGGGGTATTATAATTTTTTACAGTTCTGGCGGTGGTGTCTGGTTGTGTAAGGATTGTTATATATATCTACACACCGACACATTTAGATATATATATATATATATATATATATATATAGACACACACACACACACTCACACATACTAGTTTGGGTTTGAGATTTGATGGAAGGTTAAAAAGGTAGTTTCATGTTTTAATTAAGATAATTTAAAAGGAAAGGTAATAATGTCAATTTATACGTGTCAGATGATGGATGGGTTCTTTTGTTAACTTTATTAAATTTAAAGGATATTATTTTTCAAAAATAGACTAATTTGTATATAATTATTAATAAAGTAAATTTCAATGGTATCACTGTTATTAATCCAATAATTTATAAGAGAGGTGAGGCTTACTCATTAAGCACGTCACTTATGCAATTACTACAAGTAAATAATTTTCTATCAGAATATTTCTTTCTCAAATTTGAAATTGTCATTCTTTTTCTCATTAAATAATTTGATAGTTTGGTCACATATATGATATGTGAAAGTGAGAAATTAATTTAATATATATATTATTTCCTCTTTATGGATTTCAATATTCTTGATCTTTTTTACATTTTTTTGATATCTCAAAATTCTTGTCCCTTAACGTCCCTTTCAAAATATTCTCATTTTTTTGAAAATTTAGATCCAACTAACCTTACCTTAATTAGTACTTGATATGATAGAGTAAGTGTGATCCAAGTTAGAATCTACTATATTTTGCTTCAACACGCACCATTTTATTCTTGACCACTAAAGTCTCCTAGGTTTTCATCTCGATTGGTCGAATTTCTTTCAACAAGAATTTTCAAGTTCAAAATATGGTTCCATTTCTCTAATTTTAATTTACATGCTTTATTTTACTGTCCTTGTTGTGGTTGTGAATGTTTAATTGACAATCATTATGGATAATTAATTAATCACAAAAAACAAGTAAGTTGATTTATTCAACCCCCTCTAAGTCACAGTATTATTGACAACTTAATAGACATAAGAGCACACCGGGCTACTAACAAAAATTACTACTAAAATAAATTAGAAATATTAAAAAGTTTCACTTGGAAACTTTCCTTCTCAAATTCGAAAGACTCAGTCTCTTTATTATTTTTTTTTGTTAAATAATTGGAAAGAAAGTGAAAAATTAAATTCTATATATATATATATATATATATATATATAGATATATATTCTAATTTGATTTTTCTAGATAGTCAAAGAGGTTATCACTTGTACCAATTCAATAACTCCACTAGATTGCATAGAAAAAAAATACTATTAAACTGAATCATAAATATTTAAAAAGTTTGGGTAAATTACACTCTTACTATCCTGTGCTGATATTTGTCCTAATTACACATTATGGTTGAGAATGAGACTAACTACGTTGAGCTCGTTCAGATTTAGCGGTGTGTGCTCAATCAAATAGAATTGTTCAAAATATAAGAGATCAGAAGCAATACTACAGTAAAATGACAACCAGAATAATTTATGAAGAAAATTAGAATTACCAGGAGCCAATGAAATTAATTCACAAGTGGATAAACTCAAGAAACCAAAAATTCTCATTGGTTTGAAAAGCATATTTTGGCTGTCATTGCATCAATTCATTGCCTCTGCTAATGATCATTTTGTTGGAGTAGAAGCATCTCTACTACTTGATTCATTGTTGGTCTTGCATCTCTGTCTTCCTCTACACATTGCAGACCAACTTCAACAAGAATTTCAATCATACTTGTTTCATACTTACCCTTCATTGTAGGCTCTATGATTTCTTCAATAAAGGATGTCATTGCAGTCCCTTGACTCATCTTCTCCCTTAACCACTTAACCAACCTCCTCTGTTCCATCTCCCCTTCGTTGTTAATTGCGTCCACGCCTGTTGCAGCATTCTTTCCGGTTACCATCTCTAGCACAACGATCCCATAACTGTAAACATCTACTTTCGAAGTGATGGAGAGATTTAATATCCACTCAGGAGCCATGTAACCTCTGGTCCCTCTTATCCGCGAGAAGCTTGAATTGTTGTCACCACTTCTATTCAGTAGTTTGGACAGGCCAAAATCCGACACCTTTGGCTGGAAATCAGAGTCCAAAAGTATGTTCTGAGGCTTCACATCACAGTGCAAAACCCATTCCAAGCATTCTTCATGTAAATTCATTGCCTCTGCTAATGATCATTTTGTTGGAGTAGAAGCATCTCTACTACTTGATTCATTGTTGGTCTTGCATCTCTGTCTTCCTCTACACATTGCAGACCAACTTCAACAAGAATTTCAATCATACTTGTTTCATACTTACCCTTCATTGTAGGCTCTATGATTTCTTCAATAAAGGATGTCATTGCAGTCCCTTGACTCATCTTCTCCCTTAACCACTTAACCAACCTCCTCTGTTCCATCTCCCCTTCGTTGTTAATTGCGTCCACGCCTGTTGCAGCATTCTTTCCGGTTACCATCTCTAGCACAACGATCCCATAACTGTAAACATCTACTTTCGAAGTGATGGAGAGATTTAATATCCACTCAGGAGCCATGTAACCTCTGGTCCCTCTTATCCGCGAGAAGCTTGAATTGTTGTCACCACTTCTATTCAGTAGTTTGGACAGGCCAAAATCCGACACCTTTGGCTGGAAATCAGAGTCCAAAAGTATGTTCTGAGGCTTCACATCACAGTGCAAAACCCATTCCAAGCATTCTTCATGTAAATAAGCAAGAGCTTTATGTCACGCCCCGCCTATGGAGGTTGTACCACGCAGGTGACACGCAGACGCTAAGGAGGACGCTGCATGGCAACTGCATGGCAAGTGGAGTTTCTAGAGTCTTCCGGAGTAGTCTAGAGTTGTGTGGAAGATTCTAGATATGTGTAGTATATTCTAGAAGTGTGTGGAAGGTTCTAGAATTCTCCAGAATTGTGTGGAGTAGTATGGAGGGTTCTAGAATGTTGTAGATATGTATGGAGATGTGTAGAAGGTGGAAGAAGATTCTAGATAATCAATCTCCACCGTTGGTTAGAATGCATCCTAGCCATCCATTAGGGATGGGGATGCCTATAAATAGGAGTAGGACTTCATTTTGCAAACAACAAGTCCTAGAGTGAGTCTTGAGAGCCTTGTAGAGAGCTTGAGTGTTAGCCTTGTACAAAGCATTCTTTGAAGTAATAGAAGTGTTCTTTCCTTGCCAACTTAAGTGCCTTAGTGTGTGTGAGTGTGCAAGCCAAGTGAGGAGAGGGCAAGGGCAACTACAACACTAGTAAGCGCACGAGGGTAGTGTGTTGGCTAAGGTGTGCACGGGAGTTAGGCTGACCAAGTACTTGCGAGAGTGAAAGCAACGTCTTGGTGCCGCACGGGAGCAGCTAGAGTGGTGCTGAAACTCTAAGCCCGTGACAGTTGGTATCAGAGCAGGTTCGTCAAGGGAGCTTTGTTGGAGTAGACATGGCTAGCGGAGGAGACCACCAAGTCCACATCTTAGATCAGAGCTTGGAGGAGAAGCTTGCCACACACTTGGTCTACACGGAGACTAAGTTTAATAGGCTCGAGAGAAGGATGGCGGAGCTCTACGAGCTGATTGATGGCATCGCCAACAAGGCGCAAGAGAAAGAAAGGGACTTGCATGATCGGGTAGACGACTTACCCATGGAGATTGCCGAGTGCAAGAAGGAGTTCTCTCAGGCGCGCGAGGTCGTGGTGAAGCCAAGGAAGAAGAAGGCGCCAGAGCCCAAGGAGTACGATGGGGCAAGGAATGCGCGCCAGATTGACAACTTCTTCTGGCACATGGAGCGGTACTTCGAGTGCATGGAGATCGAGGATGATGAGGAGAAGGTGCAGACAGGCACTATGTACCTCACGGACACTGCCGCTCTATGGTGGAGGCAGCGCTTCACCGGTAGAGGCGCAAGAGCAGTTGACACATGGGAGGAGTTTAAGAGGCAGCTCAAGAGGCAGTTCTATCCCGAGTGCGTTGAGGACCTCGCCATGATCAACCTAAGGCACCTGAAGCAGAAGGGCAGCATAAGGGAGTATGTGAAGGAGTACTCCAACTTGATGCTGGAGATCCCAGAGATGCCGGAGCGGCAACGTGTGTGCTTGTTCATTGATGGGCTGCAGTCTTGGGTGGCCACGGAGCTAAGGAGGAGGGAGCCTAGAGACTTGGCATCCGCAATGGCTATAGCGGAGCGCCTCGAAGACTTTAGGCGCGATGACAAGAGGGCCACGTCTCCCAAGAGGGACCACGGCAAAGGTGGGGGAGACCGGCGCTTCAAGAAACGGGGCTCGCCCAAGTCTAGCGATGATGAGCACAGCGATGAGGAGAGACGCCCACGCCATGATAAAGGTAAGGACCGTGGAGAGAGGTCCAAGGCTAGTGGCAAATGGGAGCGCCGCGATAAGGGTAAGTGGGAGCCGAAGTGCTACTTGTGCGAAGGGCCGCACATATTGCGACACTGCCCCAACAAGAAGACCATGAGCGCCCTTGTGAAGGATAAGGGCAAGGGCAGGGTGGACGATGCGGGCAGCGATGAAGATAGGTGCATGGGGGCTATGTAGATGCTGAGTAGCATGGCGCATGACACCAAGAAGAAGGGCAAGGCAAAGAAGGTAGCTGGGGTGCGCTATGTGGATGCGCAGGTTGGTGGCAAAGCCGTGCAAGCGTTGGTCGACACGGGCGCTACACACAACTTCATTACCCCAGAGGAGGCGCAACGACTTGGCTTGGAGATGCGCAAGACGGAAGGATGGATTAAGGCCGTCAACTCCGAGGAGGCACGCGTGAGTAGAGTGTGCAAAGAGGTGGAGCTATGCATGCAAGGATGGAAGGGCAAGGCCGACTTCCAAGTTGCGGAGATGGACGACCATGACATGGTGCTGGGGCTGGAGTTCATGGACAGGAACAACGCCGCGCCACTACCATGCCTTGGTGCGTTGATGATACTTGGAGGCGAGGAAGGCAAGGCCGCATGCATGGTGCCGCTCGTGGGCAGGAAGGAGAGTCCAGAGGTGGCAATCAACACGATGGAGCTCGTGAGGACTTCACATCTCCCGAAGGGCGCTCGTACGTTTGGGCCAAGGACATATGCGCAAGTGCTGATGACCTGCGAGAGGCTGGGTCAGTTGAAGAAACCGTGACGAGGGCATCACGGAAATGGGTGGGGGAGAATGTCATGCCCCGCCTATGGAGGTTGTACCACGCAGGTGACACGCAGACGCTAAGGAAGACGCTGCATGGCAACTGCATGGCAAGTGGAGTTTCTAGAGTCTTCCGGAGTAGTCTAGAGTTGTGTGGAAGATTCTAGATATGTGTAGTATATTCTAGAAGTGTGTGGAAGGTTCTAGAATTCTCCAGAATTGTGTGGAGTAGTATGGAGGGTTCTAGAATGTTGTAGATATGTATGGAGATGTGTAGAAGGTGGAAGAAGATTCTAGATAATCAATCTCCACCGTTGGTTAGAATGCATCCTAGCCATCCATTAGGGATGGGGATGCCTATAAATAGGAGTAGGACTTCATTTTGCAAACAACAAGTCCTAGAGTGAGTCTTGAGAGCCTTGTAGAGAGCTTGAGTGTTAGCCTTGTACAAAGCATTCTTTGAAGTAATAGAAGTGTTCTTTCCTTGCCAACTTAAGTGCCTTAGTGTGTGTGAGTGTGCAAGCCAAGTGAGGAGAGGGCAAGGGCAACTACAACACTAGTAAGCGCACGAGGGTAGTGTGTTGGCTAAGGTGTGCACGGGAGTTAGGCTGACCAAGTACTTGCGAGAGTGAAAGCAACGTCTTGGTGCCGTACGGGAGCAGCTAGAGTGGTGCTGAAACTCTAAGCCCGTGACATTTAGCTGTACCCACTGCAACATTGAACCTCTTTCCCCAATCAAGTGTGTTTGATTGTAAATTATCTGCCAACGATCCATGTTCCATATATTCATACACCAAAAGTCTGTGCTTTCCCTCGGCACAATATCCCAACATATCTATCAAATTCATGTGATTTAGCTTCCCAATTGTGCTCACCTCTGCCAAGAACTCTGCTTCTCCTTGGTTAGCCTCTTTAAGAACTTTGATTGCCGCGACACGTTGGTCAGACAATACGCCTTTATAAACAATGCCACCACCTCCTCTTCCTATCACTTCAGTGAAATTATGCGTTGCTTTCTTTAGCTCGTCATAGCTGAATCTTTTGAATACAAAATCAACATGAAGGTAACCGTGCATAGTTGCATCCGACCTTTTTTGGGTTCTGTACAAGAAACACCACACAAGCAAGATACAAATGATTTCAACTCCTCCAATTGCAGTGGCAAACCAAAGCATAAACTTCGATGTCCCATTTTCACGGAATTTCTTGTAAGGCCTTTCAAGCTGGGTACTGAGTTGGCTTGAGCAATCTAATCTGAATTGTGGAACCGGCTTGTCATATGAGGAGAGTTCACGTTGGGGTAATTTTATATACATGGAACCAGCAAATTTTGAAGAAAGTTGTCCATTACGCAATTGTATCTTAGGGTAACAAAGATAAAAACCAGTACTCGGTTCAAATTTGTATTGGAACCCTTTGCAACTGCAGAACTTCAAGCATTCCTTTTCACACCTCTCTAAGGTGTAATTTTTGAAGATCTCGCTATCATGGCCAAGGAATTCAACATGAGGAAGGTCCAAAAAACCAGCCTCATCGTCACAAGACTGATTTGATATTGGTTCGCATCCATAAGACCAATCTGTGTGATTAATGATCTTGTATCCCGGTATGCAAGAGCACCTACTACCGGAATTTTCATGTGGAACATAAGTACACATGGTGTTAGGTCCACAAACACCAAGAATTGTACATGGTTGATTAATAGCTTGCCACGAAACAACCCAATGTCGTCTCCTTTCATCTAGACTGTACAATCGAATGTTACCATCCGCGTCAACTGTCAATCTCCTCCACGGACCATTGCCAAAATCAGAGGCCGTGAACGTGAAATTATCAGATGACTTGAAATTGCCCGAGTCATCAAGTACTGCACTTCTATTAGTGTTGTAAGGCGATCTTCCAGCTTCCCAGCTAATTTTCCATGGGGCAGGCCAGTAAACGCTGGATATGTCAAGACCATCAAAGACAAGGCGAAGGACGTTGTCATCATCGAAGTAGAGCTTGTAAAAGCCAGAAGAATGATTGCTTTTGCTTCGCGACGAGACTAGTTGTGTGTCTCTAGTGAGTGGTTGATTAGGAAGAAGGGTATCTGTTGGGGAAAGAAAACTTTGCCAAAGAGTGACACCATCCAGTGTAAGAAGAACAAGATTACCATTGTCCTGAAGTTGCAAATTCACCATAGAAGTCAACTTAGTGTCCGTGGACCAAACGATAAGTTGCCCAGCATCTTTTAGCACAAGATTACCATTTCTATGTAGGGAGAGGGTAGAGAGCTTTCCGTTAATTGGTTGGTCTCGGTTGGCCATCCAAACTACGGTGTTATTTCCATCATATAATGGCTCAGTGAACCATATTGCAAAGAAAAATGCATTGTCACCAACACGGTGAAAGCCGGCAGAGAAAATGGAGTTTGGTGAAATTAAAACATGGTTCAGATTCTCTACTGAGAGAGAGGAGCCTTTGCTTAAGCTATGAGGTAGGGTTGAAGATGAAAATATTGGGGATGATATGAGAAAAGAAATAACAAGGACTAAAAATGAAGAGCCCATGAAATATATTACACCAAAGATGGAATGTGCAAGAACTCCGATATGCACGCATATATAGTCAGTAATAACATTGAAGGGGCTTATGGGTCCAACAGATGGGCATGTATTGCACGTTTGTTGTGTACTGGAAATTAAATGTTCATAGCTAAGACTATTCTATTTTTGAAAATAATAGTCTTGTTACCGTCTTCAATGGGCGCAGCCCTTCAAAATTTTCTAAAATCCTTGTTAACTCGTTCGCTCGTAAATAATTTTTAGAATGAAGTGCAAAACCTCCTGAACTTTACACACATATGGGTCCAACAGATGGGCATGTATTGCACGTTTGTTGTGTACTGGAAATTAAATGTTCATAGCTAAGACTATTCTATTTTTGAACATAATAGTCTTGTTACAGTCTTCGATGGGCGCAGCCCTTGAAATTTTTCTAAAATCCTTGTTAACTCTTTCGCTCGTAAATAATTTTTAGAATAAAGTGCAAAACATCCTGAACTTTACTCTCTCTTCCTAGAAGCTCTGTTGATCTTTTAATTTTACATAAAACTTTCTAAACTATTCTGATTTTTGAAAAAAAAAAAAAAACCCAAGAAACATTGTCGGTTTGGTTTTGTCAATGATAGAGGCACGTGACGGTCATGTATGATATATTTTAAAATGACATGTTTACCCTTCTAGCCGTTAGAGATAGATAAATTTGGTTTTGTCTGTTATAAAGTCACGTGGCCTATGATATATTTGCCATTACTGTTGGAGACAGAAATCAATAAAAACCCCTGATATATAGGAGTTCATTGTGAACCCTGATTTCAATTTCCTTCCTTCCCTGCCAAAATCCCCAAATACTACTCGTTTTGTGCAAACCTTCAACACTCCCCGACTGAACCCATCAATTTCGTTCACAACTTGCTTTTGTTCACAATCCTCCAACAATCACAAGCATATTGCCACGATTTACCAAGTGAAAACAAGGGGGTGAAAAATCTATGATTCACAAACCAGAAGGAAGATGTGTTGAAGTTGTGTTGACAAGGGGAACGTAAGTGTTCAGGACGAACTCTGGTACTTTGTTTAGGTTTCGGTCTCTATTACAACTTTTGTTTTCCTCGTCTTCAATAAAACAATAAAATGACTTCAGTGGTCGAATTGTCAATGTCTACAGATCGTTGGGGTCCTTTTTATAATATGAAATGTAAATGTAGAAGAAAGGTTTCTACATTCATCTCAGATTCCGACAATAATCCAAGTTGAAGCTATTACAAATGTTCAGCTGGAGTGTACACATTCTGGGAATGGTGGAACCCTCCTCCATCACCACCACCACAAACGCAAACACCAACCCAGCAGTAGTAGCAGCAACAACACCACCACCTACGATCAATGTGTTCACCTCATTTGAAAAAACTCTCTTCATTAGTAGCATGTTCCTTTTTGGGTTATTTGTTTTAGTGCTGTTTGTGTTGGGATTTATATGCCCTGGCATAGCAAATTCCTGTTTGGATTAATTGACATATGTTCCTGACGTTTCTGAAATATTTATATTTTATACAATTGGTGAATTTAATGTATTATATTTCGATTCACTATGAAATTGATAGTGTCCATGTAATTACAAGAAATATTTATATATATGTATGTGATGACAATCAATGCATGATATATAAATAGTAATTATAAATTGTTCATAGTCGGTAATTATGGATGGACTCATAATTAATTAAGACTTGAACTGGATCCGCGTTAGGTTGAGATATATTGCGAGAGCCGTCGTATGCAATTACTCCCTATCACCGTCATGGCATTTGACTCTTAAGCATGAGAAAAGTATAGACTCTTTTATTAATTAATAATTACTTTGATTTGTTTGGCGGATTCTTCGGGATCCTTAGACCGACACTTTGGGTAGTTATGTAATTAATAGTTAGAGGGTTATATTTTCAATATTTGCATCATTGCTACTTGTATTTATTTTGTATTGATTATGGTTGATCACAAAGTAAATTCGAAGGCCTTCGTGTGTTTTTAGACAAAATGATTTATTATATATTTATTTATTTAAATTATTATTTTTGTCAAACAAATGTTTTATTGTGATCGAGCCAGAAATAATCAAAGGTACCAAAATAAATATATTAATTAAGTAGTCGGATTGATGGCTATATTTATCCGATAACTAATTATGCATAGAGGGGTCAAAGTGCAATATTGACTTAGAGGTTATTTATTATTTAATTGGAGTTCAATTAATTTCTTTTAGTGGAGTAGAAATTAATTTATGAATTAATTGAATTGGGTCCATGAACCGGGCCAATTATTAATTCATTGTAGCCAACAAAATAATAGGCCTAATGGATTCTCACTCATAGCCCAACTTGATATTGGAATCATATTAGATTTGAGACATATGAATTAGAGATGGAGAAGGATTTGTTGTTTCCTTTTCTTTATTTTTATGTTGCCTATAAATATACATGGTTTATGTATATTTAAGGGTGTGATTTTTATGAGAAGGAAAAAGGAATAAATTTTCTCTCTCTAGAAAATTAGGGTTTATGTTCTCATCTAATAGAGGCTCCCACAAGCCTAGTTTTCCAAGGTAATTCATGGAGGCTTATGAGTGATTCCTAAAGGCAAAATAATTACCAAGAAGATGGAGATCCAAGGAGAAGGCATCTTGCTAAGGGATCTACAATAAGTGAGAACATTCACTTTAGAGGAAAGTTTTAAAGGTTTACTCAGACCTTTGATGTAAATATTCAATCCATTAATTGAATGATACATCATATTTTTATTTTTGCATAAAACTTGTCTCTATGTGATGAATCAAGATCTATGAATCAAAATCCCTCGAAAAGTTTTTAAAACTTGCACGTTTCCCAACAGTTTGTTGCATTGATACTTGGCTGAGGTGGTGTCTACAACCAAAATGCCAAAAGACTTGTGTAGTGTTTGGTGAATTGATGCTTAGGTGGGTTCTCAGTTGTTGTAATTTTCTGGTTTAATGTTTAGAAGAATTTTTGCTTGTTTTAGCAGGGGAGGGCAAATTGTGTTGATGCCTTTTAGTGCTGGTGTGTCGTCGGACCAGAGCTTAAAAATGTACTAAGAATGTGAATGTGCAATATGGCCAAGTTTTAAATTTTTAAATGCCACTACTACCTCTAACTAAAAATATAGCTAGGGTGAGTAGGGATCGTCCCAAGGGATTGTGGGCGTGTTTGCAATGGAAACAATATATATGTAATGTTTGTGCCTTTATATATATATTTATGCCTGTGTGTGCGGTGTGTATTAAAAGGAAAAAAAAAAAAAAAAAAGAAAGAGAAAAAGAAATTAGAAAAAGAGAGGTGGGACCCACGTCCCTTTTAAATGAATTAAGAGACCAAGTTAGTCTCTGTTCTTTTCCTCTCTCTTTCTCCCGATTGCTGCTCTCGGCTCCTTCTCTTTTTCCTTTTTTCTTTTTTTTCACTTCAAGCTTTAACTCTTGATTACTCTTTCAATCCTTGCCGGATTTAGGTGCCGTTTGAGGCAAAACGACGAGTGTGACAAGCTCTACGCGTTGATGCAAGCAATTTCCAATTTTGAGCCTTCTTTGGAACTCGAAAATTTAGACCCATTTCTAGGGTTTTGGTGCAATCTTGAGGTAGGGACATCTTAATCCACTCTCTTCTTGTTCCATTGTGAGTTATGCTCTTTTGTTGTGCTAGACATGCTAAATTTGAGAATTAATTGCTTCAATGAGGTGTAAGTGATGTTTAGAAAAAATTCATGTCTTAGGGTTATGACTTGTCTATGTGAAAAGCATGTATAGATGATGGCTTTGTGGTGTTTTTTTGTGAATTACACCTCTTTTATGTGCTAACATACTTTACTTGGGGATTAATTGTATTAATGATTATTTTAATGTTGTCTAGAGAAATGTATGTTTATGCACATGTGATGTATTATGTGAAAAGCTTGCCTATGTGTTGAGTTTATGTCTACTATGTGTAAACTTGCTGAAAGTGATGTATGAGACCATGCTTAATTGTATTGTGCCAAAATTTCACATTGTCATGATATTGAGATTATATGTACATTCTTGGACATGTCATTGGGATGCATGAAATGGGAGAATTTGTCTTGAAATGAAAATGAGGAATTTTGGGAAATGATAGTTTTTGTGAAATGGTTTTGATAAACCCGGTTGCTGCGGGGTTACCAACGGGCCGGAAGTTAATATAGCCTAGAGGGGACTAGGGAGTTGCCCTAGTGTGGTTGAGCTAGCTGGACCCCATAATGACACCGCGGGGTTACCATGGGTCAGGGACACTAGCCAATCCTCCTCTCGTGTCGCGGCGGGGTTACCAAAGGGCGGGCTGTATTAACGTTTGAAAGTGATGGTTTTGAGAATGAAAATGGGGAGTGTCATTGACATGCATTGCATTTCATTACATTGCATTGCATTATTTATAATTGGAATTGAATTGTATGTTGTATTTGATCCCCTACGTTGTATGATCCCTATCTCCCATTGGCCTATGCTTTGCTTGAATTCACAAGGATACAAGATTTGTGCCTTAAGTGTCACCTACTGAGCATATAGCTCACCCTACTATTTATACATTTTTTTCAGGTCTTGGAAAAGAACCGGTGAACGACAACCCACCTCAAGCTTGAGCGATACTAGAAGCTCACTTTTGTGTCTTTTGTATATCTCCCATTATTTTTGCAAAGCACTAAAAGTGTGAAGGTGTATATGTATATTTTGCAAAACTTTGTCATGTAATGTAATTAAGGTATTTGATGATATTTTGGATGTGAATTTGATAACATGTAAACCTTATTGATGAATGGGGAGAGTAATACTAGTTTAAAGTATTATTAAGGTCATTTGATTGTGTATCATCATCTTCTATTGTCGTGAATTCGGAATTTGAGCCATGATAGGTTAAAAATGCTATTAAACAGGTTGTGATAGGCCTATTTTTAGGGGAGGTCAT